TAATTTAAAATTATTGAAATTTATTCTTGCTATCAGGGCGAAGGATTTCAGGTGAACTTAACTCTTTTTTTTAATTGTCTAGCTCTTGCTTGGGACCAGTTTGTAAATGATTGAAACCAGTGGTTCTTTTAACTGTCTCATCACCCAGTATGTTGCCACATGTGTTATAGCGAACTTGTACCGGATAGATGAGAGGACAGATATACATAAACACCTAATATGACGCAGGAGTTCAAACTATCAGTCAGCTCCCTCTAACTATTAAAAGTATAAGGCAACTATTTGAAATTATACTACAAATTGCTAAGAACGTTAAACACAACTTAATGCAAAGCGCATCTAAAAGGCGAAGCTCTCACGGATATCTCAGTACTCCGAAGTCGCTCTGAACTAACAACTGAAAAACTTGATACATAGGTGGTGGCAGTTCTTCCTAGTAACCTGAGGTAATACCATTGCGGGCCCTGGGATGAAAGATTCTTTTTCTAATCTCGAAATGAGTGAATGTGAGAGAGGAGACTGAAAAACTAATGCTCCTTTTGGTCTTATATAGTCCTCCCCGGTCGTCGAGAAATCTTTAGTACTTCTGGAAATAAATGAAAGGCAGAATACGGTTACCGTTACGTAGAGGATCAATTATAGTTATTCAATTACAATACCCATTACAGTTATACAGGAATTTGACCAAAATGTCGTCAAATGATCGCCAAGTTTAGCTACTTTTGCGCATCTCTCGCTAAATTTGGCGAAAAAAATAATCACCAAAACCATGGCTAGTCTTTTCAGATGCTAATAGCCTTTAGATTTCCGACAGAAAATAAATATTCATTTCATTTTTTCTTTATGTTATTATTATTATTATTATTATTATTACTGCTTATTAAGTTTTGACAAATATGTATTTAAATTTTTTAAATTTAATCAAAACTCTTTTTTGTTAACAATTTTATTATTATTATTATTACTATTCCAGTCCGTCCGCACACATGGCCCCAGGACAGACTGAGTCTGAGACCAATGCTGCAAATATTTTAGTTTGAAAAAAATATTAAAAGCTATAATATTTCAGAACAGTTCACAAAAATATATATAAGCACACAGCATAGCATTTTCTTTTGAAAAAAAAATAAGATATTTGTTTAAAAATGCTTGGATAATGGTCATGTGAACTCAGAAGAGCTTCTTGGTGGGTTGTTGATCAAGCAAAGAGAATTTTACGTCATGGAGAGGAAATTTAATAATGTTTGAAATCCTTGCATTTCCGATCAATATAATAAAACTAGAAGTGTACAAAATGAATGTACAACCTGCCTATACAAAAATCTCCACACAAAGTTCTTTATTATCGCAACTGTTGACCGAAGACAGGCTTTTTCAATCGCAAAAATGTTCTAAAAGTCTGAAGTATTAGTGTTATGCTACGTTTAAATATAAAAGAGCGATTCTTTAAAATTACGGATTCCCTCCCCCCCCCGGTTCTAATAGTCATTGGCATGCTCGGTGTTCGGCGTCGCCTACGAATTCAAAAAATGCGGCTTTCAGACTCATTCTTTTCACTTTCATTTTTTTATCAATGACAGAAGAGAGTTTAGAAGAGAAACAACAAAACCATATTTTAAGCAAAAAAGTTCCATTATAATCAAAATGACTAAATGAAATGAATCTTTTGATACGTTAAGTTAGTTAATTTAAAAATTTATTAAAAATTTATTCATAAAGATTTAATTAATTAGCAATAAACATTTTTTTTACATCTGAATCTTTTTTTCTACATCTTAGATGAAAGAAAGTCTTTTATGCTTATGTTTTAGCTGCTACAGATATAAGCTTCAAAACTCTTTCTTGTGGCATACATGTACATAAATAATTCTTAATCAATTTTAGTTTAGAAATGATCTTCCACCACTTTCAACACTAAAAGGCGAAATCAGTTATATTCTTAATAAAATATACAAGTTAGAAAAGATAAATAGCTAGGTGTAATTAACTGCAGAATGTGAAAGGGATTTTGAGTTTTAAAATTATTTTTATATATATTTGTAGAGTTCCTCCCCCCCCTTCTCCAACTGTTACGAGTTTTCCCTTAGATATTCTTCATTCATTTCTGATAAATTGTATAGGAAACTAAAATTATTTTAAAACGCAATTTTAGTAACTCAAAAAGCTTATTTACGAATGTCTTCGCAATATTAGAAAGCGTATAAAATATTTAAATTCGTCTACAGAAGTTTGCAGTAATTCGTCATGATATTTCATTCTGAACCTGACTTGCCTTTTGTCTTTGTCAGATGTTAACCGCAGATTTAAATTCACACTTTTAATTTACATTTCAGTGTTTTGATAATTTTAAGCACATTTCTGTGATTAGAACATGAGCTGTATTTTAATAAAAAATTTTATTTCCCTTCCGTAATTTTAAAGCAATATTCATAGTTTTGTCTTGAAGCTGTTTGCTGGATTTATTCTGTTGAAAATAATGCACCATATTTATCACAAAAGGAATAAATTAAATAAGTTTTAGTTTTAATACATAAATTGTGTGCTTTATGAAGCGCATTTTCTTTCATTATTTCTTAAAATGCATCGTACATATCTCATAGCTGCTATAACAGAGGTAGACTGCTTCAAACTTGCTTTCCCAACGGATGTCTGCTTCAAGGTTAAATTGGATCTCAAGAGTCAATTAAAAAAACAGATCAACTGTTTGGTGAAGAAACGAAGAATGAATATTTGTTTAAAGATAAATGAAAAGCTCTTAAATTGAAATCAACATAGACAAAATAGTATTTTTTTGTAATTCTTGAGGGAATAAATGACAGCATACACAGTTATCTGCGAAATTAGAGGACTTCTTAATGAATTTTGAGAATATCAGTGGATTTGTGAACTTCTGTTATAAATCAAGCAATTTCATCAATGCAAACATTTCTGTTCATAGAGATTTAAATACTATCTACTATAATAGTATTGGATCACAGTAAACTTCATACAAAGATACTTCCAAAGTTAAGTTCTAAAACTAAACGAGAAGTTTTATTGATTGATTTGTAGAGACGCTAGGTTATTTGGAAGTAGGAGAGATGAAAAATGAGCAATGCCCTCCCCGGAACTCAAACCACGCATCTCTCGATTACGCGAAAAGCGTGCTGACCATTACACCACGAAAGCATGCTAAGAAGGCTGGAGAAATACCATCTTTTAAAGGGTGACTGGGGATTAGAGGACCAAGTCGCCAAATCCTGGTTGTGAAGAATCATCATCCACAACCCTTTTAGTGCGGATGGCCACTGTAGAGACATTAGGTATTTTTTGAAGAAGAGATGAAAAATGAATGCCCTCGCCGGGATTCGAAACACGGACCTGTCGAATACGCGTCAAGGATGCTGACCACTACACCACGAAGGCATACTAAGAAGGCGGAAGAAATACATTATAGATTTATAATTGAAGTTAACTTCAGCAGATTATAAGAAAAGAATTCAAATGTGTACCTTGCACACTCTTATAAAAAAAAGTCAGTTCTATATCTCCCGTTCTATGGACCAACTACCGAAATTGAATTTGTATTTTTCATGCCCTCGAAAGAGTGACATAGGATATATATTATATTTATATATAGCATTGTTCTAACGTACGTATTCTGGTACAAAATTGTATATTTTCTGAAATGACATACTATTTTTCTCTATATTTTGATTCTACTACTCAAATGATGCGAAAATACTAAGTTTTGTAAAAAACACACGAGTAGTTCTTAAAAACTTAGCTCTCAGAATTTTATCTCCTCAATGTTAATGGAATATGAACATCTCCTTTTTTATCAAACATACTTGATTCCTTCTTTCGCAATTTGAAATTTAGGTTCGTTCTAAATAATATTCGAAGTTATTTTCTGATTTGTTTTTAAAATTTGTATTTTTAATGATGTTTATAATTTTTTTAAAAACTTTTTAAATTTTTAAACTGTAAACTTTTTGCCGTCATTTTAAAGCAGATGTATCTCTAAGCATACTTGCAAAACGTTAGAGCTCTTTATTAGAAATTTCCCAAGATATACATAAAGTTATATATTGGAGCGTTTTGAAATTCGGTATATTTTTGTAAACTATAATAACGCCAAAATGTTGTTTAAGCATTTGTTGAAACTTTTTGAAAGAATCAACGATGCATCTTTTCTTTTCCCTCGTGCGCCATGTAAAGGAAAGAAAATAGGTTACCATAAATTAAGAATTTTGTGCAGTGAATTATTCTTGGAGCAAACTGAAAAAAGTGCTCCAAGACAAATTTTTTAATTTCTTGGTAAAATTCTCACAATTGTTATGTTATACCAGAAAAAAGTCTAATTTTGTGTCGAAATACCTATGTTCAAACAATGCTACATATAAATCTAATATATATCCAAAGTCACGCTTTGATACATGAAAATGAAAATCAAATTTCGTCATTCGGACTAGTAGAATGGTAGATATAGAACTGCCCCTCTTTTTTTGTGCAGAGTGTACATTCTTTGACCGATTCTTTATCCCAATGGAGCTTCATTAGATTAAAGGAACTGGTGATCATATGAAGAAGCGTTGGGTTTGGGATAGTAAACAAGAGGGAAAATAATCTTTTGAAATACTTAACGATTTGCAAAATATTTATTTGAATCATCTTTATATTTTTTCAAAATTCATAAAAAAATCGAAAGTTGAATTAAAAAATGAAATGTCTGAGTTTTTTAAAGATTTTTGCTCACTTAAAATTCGGTTTTAAAAACAAACAATCTGCAACACACCTCAGGTTTTTGATATTGGATTATAACATTAATAAATCTTGTCACTGTATTAAAAAATTTCAGCATGGGTTATATATTTAAGTAAACAAACAAAAATATTATTCCTTTTTAATAATAAAAATAAAACAAACATGATTTAATGCTAATATCAACAGTTAGGAATATCACAATGAAATGATTTCTCATAAAAGCTAGAAACTTAAATGTAACGTTATAATTGCAGATTTTATTATGGCTTCCTTGCATACGGGCTAAAGATGTATTTCCATTTCTTGACGAATCTTTGCAAAGATTAGAAGAAATTCCGCAAGACGACAAGAGTGTAAGTTTTTTTTGTTTCACAAAATTTCCATCCTTTGATTAATTATTGCATAATTTGTTAACTCATCTCGTTCAGCAAAATGCATCGAATTTGTACTTTATGGTTTTATATTTATTTAGGGCACATAAATTTGAATATACCCCATTTCATTAACTAACTTTTTATCTTTGCTTTGCTCTTTTATCTTGCACGTTACAGTAGTAATTGTGCAGCGCTGAAGCCATGGAACGCTGGTATTTACTTTGTATGCTCTGTAAAACAGCAAAAAGGATGGCCGTATGAATATTTGCTTTCTTCCTTTCCATTTCCCAAAACCAATTTGAATTGGTTCCAATTAAAATGTTGTCTAGCAGGTATTATTCCTTAAAAAGAAATTCCTGAGTATTTTGCCTTCGTTAATCAATTAACTAGCTACTACAGAGTATAATCGAATTCCTATACGTGATTTCCATAATTCTACTTATAATGTCTTTGTATATTTTCAGATCTATTTTAAAGAACTCGTTGCATTTTTTTAACTTTTGCATTAAGTTGCTGTCACTAAAAGCGTTGTTTTCAACAAACACGAAACAACGCCAGAGAATAAAACACGAAAAAAAAAGGTTTAACGTACTTAGGTAATGATAATAGTGGCTTTCGACTAGAACCTCTGCTAGCGTGCTTGTTCTTTGATCATTAAGTAGCTAGTTAATTCATGGCAACATGGAAATAATCGGATTTCTGGAAGTTATGAAATCTTCATCCATCAGGCAAAATCCATATTGTGGGTTGTCCCAGTTGAAAGCAGATTATTTAGTAAAAGAAAATGAAATCTTTTGGTGAAAGGTGGAACATTCTGCCATATCTTAAATGTAACTAATTCTTCTGCCTGATTGTTCATATCATATTTAACCAAGCTTTATCCCGACAGGATCATGATGTCCATTTTACTTATCATGTTAATTTTATGGCGCTTCTGGTTGGTTAAGTATCTTTGATTACAGCAAAGCACGCAAGATCTATCTGCCGATGTGGAGGAATGCCTTTCGTGCAGGAAGTTTTAAGGTAAACTGGCTCATATCCATATTAAACAAGACGAAACCGCAAAAAGCTCCATGCAGCCAGACCTCCGCTTGGATTCAGGCTACTTTGAACTGCGAGTTTTCAAAGACTTTTATGATCAGCGATTGCTAACCTATAGTACTGCTGAATATCTTCATAGTTTCGCTGTTTATGTTGTAACTGAATTCCTAAAAGGAATAGGAGTTGATACCAGCAGATATATACTTATGATTACTGTACTTGCGTAAAAAGATGGCAAGGCTGGTGCTTGATTCTGTATTCATCTAGTGAATACTAACGATAACTGTGGACCTTTCTCTCTCAGATTTGGCTAATAGGCTATAAAGATTTGGTTATTGTTTCCAGTTTAAGAGAAGAGCTTACTTCGAAGCGGCGTACCTTATGTTCCGCGAGCGGCATCCAGCGAGAAACTTTATAAATTGTTACTTTTTTCAGAAATCTAACTTCAACTTAATGTTGTGTTTAACTATTTGACTCTCAAATGCCTTTATTTAAAAAATAATTTTGTTCTTTACATGCACCCAAAGTAAGTTGATAGTAAGTTGAAAGTTGATAGTAATTAATATTTTTTAATTAATATCAATCTGGTAATATCTCTAAGTGAAAGTCAGTCATTAATTCCAATCATTACAAATCTGAAAAAAAAAATATTTGTTCACCTATTACATACAATTTTATAAATTCATTGAACTGCGCAAGTAGAGTTTGAAAGTGACTCAAGTACCCAAAAATGCTTTATTGCTGAGTGTTTTCTACATTACAGGTACCACTGCGTAGCGAAAAAAGACGGAAGATCACAAATAATGAGGCTACTGAAGAAGGATGGACAGCTTGGGGTCCATGGCAAACGTGCTCCCGCAGTTGCGACGGGGGCATTGCAATTAGTTTGAGAATTTGTCGAGGCACTTGTCCAGTGGGTCAACATATTAGAAGACAGATCTGTAATATGCAGGTTTGTATATAAAACAAGACTGAGCTGAAATACTTAAGTCTCCTTTTAACTAGAAACTTCTATTTTATTTAGCTACGTATAATCTGAGCATCCCTTATATTACTTATTATTTCATCAAATGTGTTATTAATGGGAGCAAAAATAGTCTATATTTTTTACTTTAAGAGTTTAATAACTGTTAATAATGTTTTCAATTTTAGTGAACAATATAAAGAGACAAATCGTAAAAACTTCCACAAAATTTGTGGTTATCTTTCTAGATGTGAGTGACTTAATCAAAGAATTTCTAAAGAAAACTAGATTATATTTATATCACACACATAAAAAGGCCACAAGAACCTCATGAAGCAAGCCTATTCAGCTCCTAAGAACTTATAATGAGCCGAAGCCTTAAACATTTGATCAAGGGCCTTTCTAAATATTGTTTTTCCCCCACTGCTTTAAATTTCTCGTAAGTGTTTTATTCAAAACTCACATTAAAAAACATCTTTAACACAACATTCCTCTTCATCATGAATGTGTTCATAATTAGTGAAGAATCTGTTCACCAATGTTTTTGTTAGGGATTCCAATGATTTGCTTATCCTCCAACGAATTGTTTTACGCTGTTAGAGAAATATTTCTTTATAGTTTATTTTTAAAGATTTCTCTAACGTTTTTATTAATTTCAGTTTTCTGTTATATACTGATTATTTAAGTGCCATATTCTAGTTCCATGTGCTCATAAAACAGAAATTTTCAGTATTTAGTTGTTTCCTTTTAATGTTCTTCAGTGCTCGATGTCGTATTAAAAAAATATGACAAAATGCATCATTACGGAACTTAATTAAGTTGCAGTATTATTCACGTTTCTGGGACAAGGAACCTTGAAACATCAGTCATCCCCATCGCCAGGATTCAGTAAGCAATGTTAACTTTACTTTATACAAGCATAAATTTTGGGAAGTCAGTAAACCCTCTATACTAGTAATTACTATAGAAAAATAAATTAGTCTTTTTTTTTTTTTTTTAAGAAAAGGATAATCCCATTTATAATTCCGCTGTAATTTAAAATGAGTTTTCTCAGAATTTTCAAAATGTTAATTTAAAATTCAAATTAAATTCAAAATAGCTTGCTTCATTAAGAAGAAAGAAAACTGGTTAATGTGGGATGAATTTGCGTGACTCCAAAATTCTTTCAAGAAAGTTTACAAATATGTGATCTTTTTATTTTTACTGATTAGAGAGGAAATAACATTAAGCTGCTGTTAACTTCCAAAGTTTGTATTAGCGCAAATATTTATGCTCCAGTAGTTTAGACATTTTTTTTTTCATTTTGAAAAGTTTAAATTCTGATTATAGTAGTCTGAGAATTAAAAAAGCAAATTAAAAATAAGGCTTTGTAATCAATCGATTTGCTGTTTTAAACTTTTTAATAGCTTCTGAATAACTTCAGCGCTTAATTTTAATATTATGAACTTAGTGAATGTCACTAATTATATGAATAACTTTTTATCATACAGTGACATTATCTTAGTTTATTATTATTATTAAAAGAGCACATTGCAGTTGTTTGCTTTTAATGTGTTATATCGGTGAATAATAGTGATCATTAGGTAAATTATTTTAGGTTTTTCTTTATTAGAAAAAATTAATTAATTTATAATTTAATTAAATATGGTTTTGATTTTGATTGTAACTATAAATTAAAGTGAGTATAAACATAAATGTCCGTATGCTTCTTAGAAATAACATAAAACTCAACGGCAGTTTGAAAACATATTTTAATAACGTAATCACGGTAGATGTATAAATCAATTAGCCAGTTATAAAAATTATCTATCAGTAAAAAAAAAAGAAAAAAAATATAACTGTTCGTATTGGGCACTGTTAAAATACGAATGGACTTATCCTGAAACTGTGGTGAGCCAGTCTTTTAATCCTTTGACTGCTATGAGCGCATATATGCATCCAGCAGAAACCGTCGGTGGGGCCTATGAGAGCATGTGTGCGTCCGGCGGTTAGCCAATGGACTTAAATTCACGCTCGACGAAGGCTTTGGCTTTTCACTTTTAATGATATATATGTTCGGATATTATTTTTATCGTATATCTCCAACACTCGCAGAAACCTCGTTCGTTGCTTAGCAAAGAAAAAAAAATGAAATCTAGTTATTCAGTCACTCGGTGGCCGCACGTCACTCATGCGGAGCGCTTTAACTTAGAGCAGTTAGCAGTCAAAGGGTTAAAATGTCCTCCACTGAGAAATATCTTCTGTAAGCCGATAGCCCTTGTATACCTTGCTTTATTCAGCTAAATAAAACAAATAAACTGAATTTGAGGTCAGATAACAACCATCATGTCTTCGAAATGACATTTGCTGTTTTCTTCATTAATACACTAGCAGCGAAGCAGTTAAAACCATCCAACAATATCAGTTGGTTACTTTGCTGGTTATTACTGAATTTAAAAAAGGTATACAAAAAGTTATCTATGTAAATTGAGGAATATCCGCTTGAGGGACTTTCTGAGAGAAAATGGCTCGTATTCATGTTATACATGGAGAATATCCCTGTGACAGTCCATGCATGGGGGAGTCGAAGATAGTTCGCTCTGCTAATGTTTAACAGCTCTTCCATTCAGTATTTGTGGACGTCACATGTCATCGCCGGTTCTGTTCCTAGCAATTAAAAAGACTGTCTTTATGGGATTTTCGAATTTCCATTTGTGTAATATAAACACAAGTCAGTTTCTCTTATAAAGTTCTTCAAGAAAACATTCCATGTTTAACCGTTTGAAAGTCAAAAAGCCCGAGACGGCCTTTCGTTCAAACGACCACACCCGCCCGAAAGGGCAGAGATTGCGATGTTGTTTTCTTCCCGTGCAGTTTCCCTCAATGCATTGTATCAGTTTATTGCAGATGGCTTGTCCTAAAAGGCTAGTAGGAGCTTCTTAATTGGGAAGTAAAAATGTCACTTGAAATCTTCACACCTCTTCGTGCGTTAATAGAGAAGGAGGGCAGGAAACGGACGGGACGGGTAATGGACGAGGACTAGCGTTTCGGTATTTTAAGCATACAAGTTAGCGAAGGCTCCATTCTAATGTTTAATGCAGAGTTATGCTATTACTGCGTTATAAATTGTCGTTGTTGTTGCTGTTAAAGCAAACTGACAGCGTTCTTTGGCATAATCAAATAACACATTGTTTGGAGAGGGGCTCCTTTCTCTTATAAGAAATCTTACACCATAATGTAATAACCGTTTTTAAATTAAAAATCAAATGTGTATAATCCGATTATAATCGGAAATTTGCAAATAGCGCTTTCTAAAATTAAAAATAATATAAAAAAGTTATTTTTAGATAAAAAATTGCTTGAAATAAAATTTTGCCTCGTGTTTGAAAATTTTTGTGTTTTATCCAAATGCAGTGTGCAAATTATGTATTTCTGTATAAATACATTTTACTTTCACTTTAGCGTAATCAACTCTGAAATGAATACATGAAATACACTCGTGTAATAATTACTTAAATTTCTATCTGAATTGTCTTCACAAAATTAAACGAATTTCTTTACTTCAAAGGTTCGTTTAACACTATTATTTTAAATACCCTGATTGTACTTTAGCTTTCGTAAGAATATCTGTATAGAACTGAATTTTACTCAAATATATCTTAAATGCATATTTTTCTGTTGATGTATATGTTTTCTTAAGTTAAGAAATACTTATCTATAATATCTGACAATAAAAACTTAAAAAAGAGTAATATTATTTGCTCTGTCATATTATCCATGCAAACGTCGCGCTGCAGAGACCATTAGAGAAAATGTTGGAGGAGCACAAATTTATTTGCAAAATCATGGAAAACGAAAATATTTCAAGAAACAAAACAAAAAATTCCGTAGTAGACCAAACCATAAGCATGTATTTTATACTAAGAATAGTATTTATAATTATTTTGTTAATAATTAGTAGGCAGGAATAAGAGTGTGTGTACAGAAATTAAGGAAGATATAATATTTCTTTTACTAGCCCTGCCCTGAACCGAATGACTTTCGGGCTGCTCAGTGCTCAGCTTATAACGAAAGACCCTACCGGGAAAGAATGTATGTGTGGTTACCATTCTACGATCCGGAAGACCCGTGTGCCTTGACCTGCATAGCACAAGATTACGGCTTCGTTGCCAAGTTGTCCAAGAAGGTTCAGGACGGAACAAGGTGCAGAGAAGGAGCATTGGATATGTGCGTAGAAGGCCAGTGCCAGGTACTGAGTCCACTATTTTTTATCTTTGTTCGAAGATATATTTGTATTGTTGAACAGAAAAGTCAGTTTGGCAAATTTGATGGCTGATAATTTTGATTATCAACTGATATTTAGATGATTGAAAATCTCAATTTAATTGTTTGCCTATTAGATCTTTATTTTCCCCAGCTCAATAATGTTTTACTCAGTTATCATTTTAATTTATACTTGCAGTGACATGCGCAGGGATTCATATTATCAATATCTAGTACCTGCATTTACTCATAAACTATTTACAGAATTAGAAGTATATTATTCTGTATGTGCATGCATACGAGAAATTAAAAGGTTTTGATTCGCATATATATTGAGTTATTTTTTACATATATATACATCTTTAATTTCTAAATCCTGATTCATCAAAGCATTTTGTTTATGACAATATATATAGTATACATATTATACCTATTACAGAAACACAAATATTTTTTAAAAGGAAAATTTATAATCGTTCCAAGAATTTTCGCGCATTATGCCACTGAAAATTGATCAGCAAATATATGAAGAAAGAAATTTAGAACCAATTTTTCACAAAGACTAAAAATTGAAATTCAAATGAACTTCAAAAAATCCTATAAATGTAGAATTATTTTAAATGTAAAAATTTTAAATATACAAGAAAAATGAATGTAAAGAACGAGAAAGAAGAGGAATCCAATCAACTTCGACATAAAGTCTTCAGGAGGAGGTATGTCGAATATAATTACAGTTCCACTTCCAAAACAAAATCCTTACTTTTCTGTATCCAAAATTAGCTGATAAACATTTCAATATAATTTTTAATCTTAATAGTTCATCCTAAAATCCTGATCCTCTTCAAAGCATAGGAAAATGGCAAAAATACAAAGCAAAATCATTGAAAGAGATCCTTCAATTTAAAAAGATTTTTCTAATCTAAAAAGAATCTTTAATAAAAATGAAAACTTACCCTAAAAATGTAGAAAATATTAATTCCTTATAGTGAAAAAAACCGCTGAAATATCAAAATCGAATCTTAACACAAAACTTTGCTAGAACCTCTTATTACACCAGCTGGAAACAATAGGATTTTTTTTTAAGTTCATTTGAATTTCAGCTTTTGGTCTTTGTGAAAATTTGGTTCTAAAGTTCTCCCTCTCTCTATATATAATACAAGGCAACTACTGTAAAAGCAAATACTCTAAAATATTGACTATATTAGACGTACAGAATTCCGTGAATCGAGAGTACTAATACCAAAGAAAAAAAACTCAATGTAAAACTTACAGCTGCAAATTGAAATATGGTTAACTAGAAATTATATTTATCAGTTTTTCTAGACAGACAAAAAGGCCATTATCCAATTAGATCGTTGCAGGTTGTAATTCATGCATTTGAAAGTGTAGATGGATTTGTAAGAAGATATGCGGTATGGTAGTACCGAAGATGCTATAGCTAAAAGTTAATAAAATAATCTTGTTAGTCTTTAGCAAGAAAATTTCTGATGCACTATTAATAATTTCTCTCCTTTTCTTAGAATTAAAACTCAGTGTTGCTCTTTCTATCTGTTTGCTATATATTTAATTTTATATATATACAGCAGATACTATTATAAGAAATTATCTCATTATATCATTTCAAGAGATACATTTAATTAAAATGTAGATATGTTTGTTAATGTGAGAGCTTGTTTGTCATCAGTGTATAGCTATGTAACTTCAAAACATTCTGATTAATGAAAATTACAATAAAGATATAAGTTTATTATGAAAATACTTGATAAATCTACCACCACATCTTATCACTCCATATAAAAAGCCTACTATTATCGATAATGTAATTTAATATAATATTTATTAATTCCGAAAAGAAAATTATAAAGTATAAATTTATTATCTTATCATAAAAAGTATGTCTATCTCCCGGATTTTATCTGCGTAATACGGAATAACGGTGCTTATTCCTTTTTAGTTACGCTGATAAGTTTGTTTTTATAAACAGACAAACTGTCAGCATGAAAATGAAATTGAAACTGCACTTTTAGAACGATTCCTATTAATCCTAATTTTTTTTTCAATTACAATTGCTTACTTAAAATTTGCGAAATTTCTTTGAAATGAACTTTGAAATGAATACATGAAATACACTCGTCTAATAATTACTTAAATTTCTACCTGAATTGTCTTCACAGAATTAAACGAATTTCTTTACTTCAAAGGTTCGTTTAACACTATTATTTTAAATACCCTGATTGTACTTTAGCTTTTGTAAGAATATCTGATAGATATTTATTATTAGCTAATTTACACCTTATTTTCAAACTCCATCTTCGAAATAGTCAAAACTAAATTGAAAAGATATCTAGCTGGTTTTTTTCACAACTGGAAACATCTGAAATTGTAACAGCTTTGAATTCTGTAACAGCTTTGAAGCTGCTAGCGATTTATCATCAACTATATTTGTGATGGTAAATCTTTTCTTTTTAAGTCTCATTTTCGTTTTAGATGAGAAAAAGGAATAACAGGGTGATAAATCTGGTGAGTGATATGAAAGCGATATGATGTTCTGTTTTCGAAAGCAACTTACGTACTGTTATTTGTAAAAAAATTATCAGTAATTGCCTATTTTTTCCTGATATTTCAAACTTTCATAGTATATACTATGTATATACTATGAAAGCATATACTCTTTCAGTTCATACATCAAAATGTTGCCATAGGTTATTCTTTGCAACATGAAATATTTTAAATGATTGTTTAGAAACATTCTCCTTCCCTATTCGATTTATTTTAATGAAAACGAACTGGCACTTTTGAGCTGAATGTGCCTTTTTCATAACTCAGTTTCTAATTTATTCATTTTATAAAGTATCCAAAAATACAAACATCACCATTAAAATGATTACAGTGGGACAAAAAAGGATTGCTGAACATACATTTAAGAAATCTTTTGAACTAAAATATTGCAAGATTTTTATTTTCTTTGCCCATTGAATTAAAAATTGCTGTAAATACTCTTTCTCTAGCTATTTTATGTTTTTCAGCCAATCGGTTGTGATCTCCGAGTAGGTTCAACTCTTAAAGTAGACGAATGTGGGATTTGTGGAGGTGATGGCTCCAGATGCCAAAGACCAACATTCATCTGGCAGGAAGGTGTATTTGGTGCATGTTCCGTCACTTGTGGAGGAGGTATGTAAAAGTCTAAAGTCACATTTATTACGTTGAAACCATCATTTAAATAATATAAAGCTTTAAATTTGAGATTTAAAAATGCTTCAAATTTTAAAATAAATGTAATTGTCTTGGACAAAGCAAAGTAATAAGTGAGTAATCTCTTCTTGTATATGTGTGTAGAGAGGGTTATGATAAAAGAAATAGATCTTTTCCATAAATTCCATAAATTAAAACCAATTAGTATAATCTGAATATATACCAAATAAAAGAATTCTCTTGAATCAAATATTTTGGTACTTACATATTACCCCGTCAACCGGAAAACTGTCGCCAAGTAGAGAGCCAGTTATGGATAAGCATGACATAGCAACACTTTCGTAACATTAGCGCTTTCGCTTCATATAATCCAAGCTGATTCTAACCAGGTTTTATTTTTGAAAACGGATAAACAATCGTGATGCAATGTGAAATTTTTCTGACTACAGAATATCCATTCGAAAAGGGGCGATGTTCAAAGGTTGTAAAATTATATTTATGATTGCATTTCAGGTCATTTACAGAACGTTCAGGGAACTGACGTGTGTTAAATGAGGGAGGGGGGGAAAGGAAACCAGACTATATAGGTCAATTACCTTATTCTCATAACATTCTAAAGACAGCTTCCAATAAAATCGGAGGGCCAAATATAATAATAGAAATTGATGAAAGGGCATTTATGTAGCCTAAAACAGAAGCAGGTCCAATACTGATTGTTTATTAAATAAAGTAGCATTAGTTCCTTCACAATTCCGTCGAAATGAATGGCGTATCTTTCATGGCCAACTTTTACGGTGTAAGAGATAACATGCAGTTTGTGTACCAGTTTTTTGTTATACCAGGACGCAGTGTCTTATACCAGAACCAGTTTGTTGTTCAACAGCATCAAATGGAAAGGATTACCTTAAGAATTCCATTAAATCTAGAATTTTAACGCAAACTCTGTATTTTTGCTTGATAAAATCTTATTTATGGAGTATATATGTTTCCGATAGAATCTTTCAGAATTCCCAATTTCAAGGATTTAAAATATCAAAAAAATGGAGAAATAACAGAATCTAATATTTAAAATTCATTCAGAAATGTAACAATATAGAAAGTAAAATTTAAAATCTTTTATATCATTGAAATTGATAAATTTGTATAAAATTAATTTGGTTAAATAAGAAAACGTTATATTCAGTCTTAGGAAAAATGTATTTTAGGGTACCCATTAACAAAAATTGACGATTTTTATGGCGCCATTCCGATTTGATCACGATCCCTCAGTATGATGAACGATCCCTCAGTAAAATGACGTCCAAAACATAATGCAAGGAAACATTGTAAAGCTATTAGGTTATTTCGAAGCAGTAGAGATGAAAAATGAGCAATGCCCTTGTCGGGACTCAAACCATAGACCTCTCGAATACGCATTGAGAGTGCTGACCACAACTGGGGATTAGTGGACACAATCGCTAAATCCTGGTGGTGCAGAATGATCATTCACCATCTTTTTTCAGTTCGAGCGCCAGTGTAGAGCCATTAGGAACTTTTGAAAGCAGGAGACATGAAAAATCAGCAATGCCTTCACCGGGACTCGAACCATGGACCTCTCGAATAATGTGCTGACTGAATAGTGACTGTCTCGAATAGTGTGCCGAGTGTGTTGACCACTACACCACGAAGGCATGCTGAGAAGGCGGGAGAAAAACCTTATAACATAATGTAAACAAAAATATATAATCTCAATAAACTACATTTTAAATCAAACAAGGTAATTACATAAGAATGGAAATACATATTATCTAAACAACGCAGTATAAAGAGGAAATATCGACTTACCTTATTTAGAAATTTTTGTGTGTTTGGCTGAGGCAAACAGAATTCCTTAACAGCATCCAAAAACTGTCTAAAATTATCTGAACTAGAATACTGCCGTCGCCACATAAACTCACAAAAATAAGAATAAAAAATATCCTACTTAGTCCTGAACTGTCGGAATCCCTAGTGTCGGACAAACCAATTGAAAGCCGTATGAATGATCTTACATTCGACCATACGCATTTCCTTTGCACAAACAAGATACTTATAATGATACTGAGTAAACCTTCATTTACACACCAGTCAATTAACGCTTTTTTCCCCCATTCGTTTCAAACTGTACAGAAACTTCAGATTAATCTTATCACTGGCAGACAATTAAGGTGTAAAGCACAAAATAAGCAACGTACTTCCTAAGCGACATTCAACACAAAGAAATGCCTTGAGAAATCAAAATCACCGCAATCACGCATTACAACCAATCACGTCATGATAGGGTTTCCAAAACATACAACGTGAAGAGCATATCGAATCAGGGTTCATGATCGCGTGTATTACGGGATTTGGATTGAATTCATCCAAAACTGCAGCAAACAAAATACATTACAGTTGAATAAGTAATAAATAAAGATATAAGATTAGATATAATTAGTTGCAGAAGGCAGTACATAAATCTGTATACAGATCATAGGTCCTAAATTTCACTAACAGCAGGTACATAGCACAACAAACAGAATTCGGAGTCATCCACCCCAGTGCTGTAACTGAAGTATACTACTGGAATCTGCAGGAATTAAATGATGAAAATGAAAATATATCTGTACAAAGTAGTGTCATAACTGTGCAAAAGCGTTTCATAAGTGGTGAAGTCCTGGTTTTCATTGAGAATGAAGACTGCATGGGGGCAAAAATATCTATCACCGTTGAGCATTTTGTTGGGAAAAGTTCGAGAAAACTTCATTTGGTCACAATATTGAGCACTCTCGAAGAATTTTTTGTTAGCCTTCATGAGAAAGTTATCCAATCTATCCAGTTTGAAATAAGCATTTAAAAGTTTATTTCGAACAAAATAGTGTGCATCAGTGATGATCCTTAAAAATCTATTTTGCGCAACTTGAAGCTTGTGTATATTCCAGACGTCCTTGGTTCGATTCCCGGCGAAGGCGTTGCTCATTTTTCATTACGCCTGCTTTAAAAATAACCTAATGTCTCTACAGTGGCGCCCGAACTTAGAAGGTGTTGGATGATGGTTCTCCACACCCAGTATTTGGCGATTGGGTCCCGTAAAAACCCCAGTCGCCCTTAAAAAGGGGGTATATAAGGTATTCCTCCTGCCTTCCTAGCATGTCTTCGTGGTGTGGTGGTCTGCTCTCTCGGCGCGTATTCCAGAGGTTCGTGGTTCGATTCCCAGCGAAAGCGTTGCTCATTTTTAATCTCTCCTGCTTTAAAAATAACCTAATGTCTCTACAACTTCTTCCAACTCATTTGCATTCAGCGCGATTATAAAAACTCATTCTGGTAGGGAGTTGCAAATGGAAAACAATAATTGGATGGATACTGTTTTAAAATTTAAAATATCTGTTATAAAATTAAAATATACCTTACAAATTGATTTCTTTACCAACAGGCATCCAGCTTTCCGAAGCTACGTGTCGCAATAAAGAAACAAATGAAGAGGTGGATCCTAGACTATGCAATTTGTCAATCCGTCCGCGGACCAAAGCTAAGCATTGTAACCGACACCCTTGCCCTGTAGTGTGAGTATGCAATTCTTGCCTTATTTTGCTAAACAAATTAAGCTTTATCAAAAAGCTATAAGTCAGCAAATTTTTATTTAAGAACAATTTTATTTAACTGACAGCATAGCTTGCTTCTTGAAATAAAAAATTAAGGAATGTTATATATGTCACGTAATTGCTTAATAGGGCATGTTTGATAAATATATAAAAAGCTATAAAGGGAGCTTTTCATGGACAACTGGAAGAACAAGGGTGAAATGATCTGCCAAATATTTGAATTTTATTGTTAAAATCGTTTGAAAATGATTTTCCTGATATAGGGATAACTTGTAAGGATCTTAAGTTTTACTAACGTTTATTTTATTTTAAAACTGTACTATCGTCTCTTATTTTCCACTTCCGGCCAGAATAAACGCGTGAATATGTTTATGCAAATTGTACTTGCTAACGTTTAAGTATATTTAAGTTGTGGCTTTTTGCTAAGAGCAGAGTTAGATCGGGAAAGAGTGAGCCTTCTTGTCACTATATTTCACGTGAGCTTGCAATCAGTTGCTGTCCGCCTTTAAGGCCAGAGGTTTTAGTCCTCGTGAAGCTAAAGACGACTGTTTATTTGTTAAATAAACAACTGTTGTTTGTTCCGCAGTTGGCGTACTACATACGTAATAATTTAAAAGGCCAGTCTTAGTGTTAGTCATTTGTGTAAAGTATTCAAAGTTAACTCTTATTTTTAAATTTAGTTAGTAGTGCTTATATCTTTACATTCAGACCACAAGTGGTTGGTCTTTGTATCCCAAAGTACGGGAGCGCCTGTAATATCCTGAAAAATAAAGGGTGATTAAACCCTTCTCATCTTGTCGTCTCTTCTACACTCCATAGGACATAGTTTGTAGTCAAACTCACTGTCTAATAAGGACACATCATGTTCGCTAAACAGATAAGGAGAAATACAAGTCCTGATAAACTTACCTTCAATGTTCCCAACTAATTTTATAATATATTCAAAATGGCATTGCAAAGACATCCAAAACAATATTTTCAGCAGTAAATTTTTGATATCATTAAAAATACTTTTTTGAGTAATTATAAAAATTTGATAAAATCTGATAAAAATTTGACAGCTTACCTTATACAAGGAATTCTTCATATGTTTAAACAATAAAACTCCATGCACCTCCATCCTAGGTGTTCATAACTCTAATTACCCACATCTTTTTACGCAAGAGAAAACACGCCAAAATTGGCATATATATTGTATAAGTTAAAGAAAAAAGTAATTTAAAAACAAACCTTAGACGGAAGTAGATTTTAAATAAAAGTCTCACGACTTTTCGGTAGAAATAGCATATACTCTTTTTCTTCAAAAGCAAAAAAGCTTTGCAAGGTCGAAGAGTTCTCACTAAAGGGTTTTAAAAATAATTTTAGCAATTTATTGAAAATAATTTTTAAATTAAAAAATAATTTTAGCAATTATCTTTCATTACGTTTTAATGCGAACGCCATTAAGGAAATATTAGATTTTCTGAAATTCTGAGACCATAAGCTTGAAATTCAACTTCCTCCTTCCTGGAATTTGAACCATGAATCAGCCGTTGGATATTTGGATGTATTAGCTGCGACACCATAATAGCAGGCGTAGGAGGAATGTCATAGTTCTTTGCAAATTATTTAATTATTAATATAAATTAACATTTTCCTCAGAAAAGTTTTCGCTACTTGTAATTGCAGTTCTATTTTTGTGTAAGTAACTTTTTTTTAATTTTACACCTTTTTTCCCTCATGATCTTTTTCTTAATTTTATAATTCAGCAGCATGTACGCCTTGTAGAATTTTTTGATAAAGAGCATACGTTATTATACGTCTGTTTTGATATTTATACTGAGATATTTACCTTAAATTCCTCTAGTGCTAATACAAAATTTACGAATAATTCGTGTGTAATGAAGCAGGAAAAAGGAAGAGAAAGTAGTAAGTATAATGAATAATATAAGTAAAAGTTTTAATTGAAATTCTTTCGTATTCATTCTGGAAAATTTAATTATAGGCTTTCCTTTTCCAGAAGTTATATAAAAGGGAATGACAGAAAAGCATTTATATATATATATAAGGAAAGAAATGAAATTATGTAAGGTCTTGAAAAAAGCAGGAAATGACAATTCTCAAAAACTCGGAGAAAATTGCCTGCTTTATTATTTCTTATATATGTGACATGTGGGATAAAAGTGCCATTCTACACTCAGATTAGCAGCCATCTGTATGAAATTTGGCAAACTTTAGTGAACTTTTTTATCTCCAAAGAGATAATCAGATCTGTGCTCTTACAATAAATTTTTATTATAGTTAAATTTGAAACAGCCGAATTAATTGGGACCCCAACCTATCTGTACAGTTGTCTTTTCTTATTTATTTTTACTGCAGCACAGGGAAATGTGTTCATTCATTTACCATTTTTTTTTTTTTTTTGGGTAGTGTAGGCAAGGAAAAATTTAAACATTCACTTCGACGCTTTATACATTTTTTTGGCACTGTAAAATTTCAAGCTTGGGATATTGAAGTTGAACTGACTTATTTTGATATTTGACAAATTTAAAAGCAAATTTTGGGGAAGCGACTAATTTCGAAGTGAAAGGAAATTGTTGTTGGAAGCTGTGTGCTATCCGAATTATACTGTGTCTAAGTAAACCTCGAACTGTTTTACAACTGCAGAATAACATCTAATGTTTTTCCCCCCAATGGCGGGCACTTGCCCATGCCGGCATCGGCCACTCCTAGGGCCAGATGTGGTGGTCTTTTTATTATGAAGGCACCTAATAAGTGGGCCACCTTTGCCTCCCATGAAGGAACAGACAGTTTTTACATTCATTCCATCTCCGAGATTCGATCCCGTGCTCTTCGGTATCGCTCAGGCTCCCCTAACTACTATACCGTCTGGGCGGCCAAGTTGAATTCCAAATTTTACAGTGACAGGTTTTGATTTAAAGTAGTTGTGGAGTATGCATCAGATAAAGCAGAGTAAGTAGTTAACAGATCTGCTGCCTTAGTAAATATTGTGTATAATTAAAAATTTGCAAATACATAAATCAGATATATTACTATTAAATTTTGTCAGAAATCTGTTTAACAGGCAATAATATCAACTATCAAAGAACTAATTAGAGTTAGGTTGCGCAAGCTGTACCGACTACGAAAAAATAGGTATAAATGTTAGGAAAATTTTGTATTCTAATAATATCTTTAATTTATTTATTACAGTAAATTCCATACAGTCCATTCGTATAGATGGAATTAATTATATTTATGAACGCTAACTTAATACGACTTAAACAACCAGTATTCTAAGTCGTACCACGTATAGCTTAAGCCGTACCACGTTTAAAATTAGACAACTGTAAGTAAATCTAACTTTTTCTCAATTAATTTATCTATACAATGAATTACAACGATGATCATAAAGATATTTTTCACTTTCTTATCAACTACAGCCAATAAATTGTATAGCCATCCTTCGCATTTTAGGCACTGAATCAAAATCTCTTCACGGTCTTTCCCACAAATATTGCAGGGAGACAAATAGGATGTGAAACAATATGGCTGACTCTAGGAGGTAACTCGTTTTGCCGAAAGAGAAGCAGTTGGTGTGATATTATGGCTAATATATATAAAAGGTATAACTTAAGCGGTGGTACGACTTGCGCAACCTCACCCAACAACCGTAAGGAATATAAAGAATACGAATGAAGCACTAGATGGAGAATAGGCATCAGATCACTTGTTCAGAAAGTAGGTAACATATGGCATATTCTGCTTAAGCAAATGTTGTGTAAAAGAAGTGGAAAAGGTAATGATTTTTTAGGCGAATTTACTGAATTCTTATTCTCCAACCAAATTTCAAGCTTATTCTGGCCAAAGTCAATAGTTACAAAACCTGCTCATTCTGGAGAATTATGGTTCTGATTTATGTTAAACGACTTTGTTTGTCGAAGTTGAGCCTGTCCTATGACAAAATTAATTACGTGTATCATCGCGTTAAAAATATGGCCTTTTCTTAACTTGTTAAAGGATAACGAACATTTTACTAAATAAAGGAACTTTATTTATAAAGGAACTTTATTTATAAGGAAGCTATTAAAATTTACATTTTATATTTACAAAACCTTTAGAACTTAATGTAACTTAAACTTTTCCTGGAATTGTCACTTACTTTAAAAAACTCTGCAATTAAAAGTATATGCCTGTGATCAGGAATAAAACGTTCAGCCGTATTTTTTTTTACCTCCGTGTGCTAGTGAAGGAAAACAAACCAAAAAAAAAAAAAAAAAAAAAAAAAAAAAAAAAAAAAAAACATCGTAATGAAAACCTATATTATTTTTCAAACTTGAATGATATAAAGGATTATTACTTGTTATAACTTGTCGGCTTACCATTTCAGAGAATGGTTATTTATGGAGTAGTATTACATTTGCAGGTGGGCCACCGGGAAGTGGGGTCCTTGCTCCGCAACGTGTGGAACGGGTGTTCAGTCTCGCCCCGTCTTCTGCGTTCAGGGCGGACCCAACGGTTCCCGGATAGATGTCAAGTCCGATTTTTGCCCGCGGCACAAGCCCATGACGGAACAATCGTGCACCGTAGAGGAGTGCCCTCGTTGGTTCCAAGGTCCCTGGTCACCAGTGAGTATATATATGTTCCTCCTTTATGAAGTTACACTTACATGCATCGTTACAAACTGTATAATAAGTAACATATACAAGAAAAGTATGTCTATTAAAATTTAATATTTGAATCAGTTCCCCGAGGGCTAAGAATTTCCTATTTAAATTGTAGTTTTCTTCTTATTCAAATATTCAGTCTGTTTTAATATAATGTTCCAGATAACTCATCTATTGAAGAAAACGTATAGTGATGAATTATGTAATAATTATTGAATAGAAGTGTTTGGTAGTAGAATTCTTCATTGAAGTTGCAAAGCATGATGTATGTCGTCAAAGATTACGTAGAAATTTCGTTCAGCATTTGAAAAAGTATTTTGAGTAGTTCTACCAAACGAAAATCGAAAGAATATGTGAAAACAATAATCGTTAGTAGTGAAACCAGCATTAGCTTTTGGTTCTTAATTACAATAATCTATACATTCACTTCTGCCGCCCAACCGGTAAAGCGGTAAGCGTCGCTGATTGCCGCGCCGAAATGCCCGAGTTCGAATCCCAGAGAAAAAGCCTTGAGCACAGAGAAACAGCCAGAGAAGGCATGGATGTTTGTAATGTATAGTGTCGGTGCGGCAAGGCGGCACTTTAAATATGCGGCGAGCCGAACGTCCTCTCGTGTGGTTTGGTGGCGGACTCGTCCCCCCCCGAGATGCTCTTCATTAAAATTTGGGGCGGAACTGAGCTAAATGTGACCTGTGCTCAAGGCTGTTGCCAACGGCAGCTGAACACTGCGAAAAAAATGGGACTGTTCTAAATCTCCCGTTCTACTGGACCGATTGACAAAACTCAAATTCCGTTTTTCACGCGTTAGGATTAGATTTATATATAGCGTCATTCTAACATAGGTATTTTAAATTAAAATTGGACTTTTCTGAAATGACATGCCATTTATTTTTCATATTTCGATTCTACTACTCAAATTATGCCTAAATATTAAATTTTGTAAAACTTGAGTATAAATTTACGTAGAAATTCAAAAATTTAACTTGGCGCATTTTTTTCAGTTTGCGCCAAGAATAATTCACTTAGCGAACTTCTTAATTTATAGCAAACTATTTTCCTTTCCTTTTCTTTCATTGAAAAAAAAGTCATCGTTCATACTCTCAAATAATTATAACAAAGTGCATATTATCGTTTGGCATTATTATCTCTCACAAAAAAAAAAAAAAAAAAAAAAAAAAAAAGATGCTAAACTTCAAAACGGTCTAACCTGTAAATTCACGATTATCTTAGAAAATTTTGAATAAAAATCTCTATTTTTTGCAGGTATGCCTAGAATTACTTCTACTTTAATATGATATTAAAAATATTGTAGGTTATAAATTCAATTTTTTTCGAAAAATTTATAAAAATTATTTAAAAATGCAAATTTAGAAAATAAATCATAAATAATGGTCGAATTTTATTTGTAATGAACCTAAATTTCGAAATGTGAAACGAAGAATCAAATAAGTTTAATAAAAACGAGATATTAATAAATACATATCAAATTCAATTAACATTGAGGAGCTAAACTTTGCGAGCTAATTTTTTAAAAACTACTCGTGCGATTTTTACAAAACTTGGCAGTTTGGTATAATTTGAGTCGTAGAATCGAAATATTGAAAAAAAATTGGCACGTCATTTTAGAAAACGTCCGATTTTGTGTCAAAATACCTATATTTGAATAAATATATTATATATCCTAAGTCGCGCTTTCGAAACATGAAAAACGCAATTTGAATTTCGTCAATCGGCCCAGTAGAGCGTTAGATATAGAACTGTCCCATTTTTCGGGGAGGGGGGGGGACAGTATACATTAAAATCTCCTATATAATTGGTACGTCTGTACCTATATTGAACTCTTCATCAATGAGCAAACTTGACTCTGAGTATCCCATAAGCGCACAAAAGAGTAGCAATTTTAAATTTGCTGAGTTAACCTGACGGATAAAGGTATACCGATGCCAATATAAAGCGCGACTGTGCATTAATTGTAATATCGATCATAGATATATTACCGGTTCCTATTTCTTCTATCCTTCTTCCACGATCTAAAGTAAACTGAATTGGATTGTGATAGACAATGCTCTTTAGATTCCTGTAGATAGCCACAACACTGGGTTTTCGTTGTCTGTCTTCAGAAAAAAATTTTAATGTAGTGTTCATAAACGCTTTCAACCTCCACCTCAATAGGTTCATCCTCAAATATCCAAGTCTCAGACATTGCAATAAACCGGACTGCTTTATTATTTTATCTGTTATAAGATCGCCATAATGTGCAGATAAACTTTGAAAATTTAAGTTAGGGATAACTAATGATACCGTTTAATGGTCGTTGTCAATTTAATGAATTGTTTTGCTCTCGCTCCTTCATTTATTTGAAAATAGTCTGTGATGTTCAAATTCTTTTGCTTTTTCTTTTTCTAGTAACGTTTACTCGTTCTTTAAGCAACTTATTTGCTGGCTCTTTCTTCTTCACTTATCTGAACAGCTGCTCTTGTCTTCGTTTCAACAAATTCTTCGTTGAATCATTTTAAAAGATTATTAATTTCAGTGAAACAAATTCACATACTATACAACCATTCACTACCGCATCCAACAAGCAACAGAGGTGGAGCCGCCCACCAGACGAGAGAGTACAGGAGTGGAGATGCAAGGCCACACAATGTGCCTGCGCACATCGTATAAAAATGAAGGCAAATTTTTAGCCTTCAAAATTCGGAAAAAAAACCTACCTTAACTCTTGTACTGTGTCACAGGGCATAGACCTCTGCAGGCCGGAATAGGGCACATGCAATAAACACAATTGGCATAAGAGCGTCTTACAACTGTGAAGTCTCTAGATGGTTGCAGGGCCAGGGTAATACCCGAGTAGTCATAGAAAGCCGTCCGGCTGCCCTGTCCTGCTGTCACCTGTCACCTGTACTGTGTCACATGCATAATCATCCATCACATCATAATTTGCCATCTGTCTCATTCATCTACCATGATTGCCTTCGAACGCACACGATGTAAGCGTAGCACTTTTTGACAATGAGGGCCGTTGAAAAAGACAAATATTTTTGTATTATGCAAACTTTTCTCTCCGTCAACTGCGCTGGAAATGCGTGCACCCTAAATGAGTTCGAGTGTCATAGATTCGTCATCACTGGCATATAACGTCATCAAAATTCCCGTGATATTCGCTACATTTGTTACTCAACTGTGGCTGAACCGTAATTTTAAATTTCAAAACTCTTTTTGTATTCTGTAGTGTACCTTTCCTCTATTAAAAGAAATATAAACCAACTCTCTATGTTTTGCAATCACGGAGCTCTAAGAGGTTTCCTAACTCGCAAAAGTCTCATAATTTTTCCTTTCCACAGATCATCTTGGAAGATTAAAACTAGACCATGTACAAAAGAATGCAAGGTCTTCGGATATCCATTGCGCAAAGCATAAATGATTTACACTTTCATCATACTGAAAGTTATAATGGAGACATTTGTTCATCAATGCCACTAATAATGTCTAATGACCTTTTTTAAAAAGTTATTTACAGTACACTATAAAACCATTTTTTCCAGAACTATTCTTCTGGATTATTCGCTTTTACAATAAACTTCTTCTGGTTCTAGGATATTCAGAGTTGAAACAATCCATCTACGCGGCAAGTATAGATTGTTTATTACATTATAAAACCATTCTATGAAAAACACTTGAATCATTCGGAAATACAACTGTAACCATACCATTTGAAAATCTGTAACCACGTGTACTACCTGTATTTTGATATTTTGTGTATAAAAATATATCTCCTCTTTGCTATTAACGCCATATTTCTATTACGTTAAATCATATGAAAAACCATCTTTTTACTAAATTACACTTTTTTAATTTTACTATAAAAATGTAATACAGAATGCTAATATTGTATATTTTAGTGTTCTGTAACATGTGGGCAAGGGATTCAGACTAGAGCTGTTGTCTGCAGAGATAGCAAAAGTCAGTACAGTGATCTGTGTGATCTCAGTGGTATGCCGAGGCCACAGAAGACTTGTGAATCGAAGATCCCTTGTCCGGTGGTATCTCAAACCGAAGAGCCCACAACACCGCCACCTTGTGAGTATTTAAAATTCTTCTTAATATATAAAATATATATAACTTCATAACTGCAATAAATGCATTCAAAATGTGATAAGGAGTAAAAGTGAATATTTATTATAATATCATAAACGGAGGCATGCATGCCTAAGTGTTGGTAAGTACCTTTGTTCTGCTGTAATTTCAATCAGCGCATACTAACAGAAATTATTTTGTCATTGATAAAAATGGGAGCATTTTCTTCATTCAAATAAATTTTCGTTTTTATGTTAAATATTTTAATACCGAAAAATGATTTTAAAGTCTACGTAAAATATTAATTACATAATTTTTTTCCTGTTTTATGTTCATTTAGTGATGCAATGAAAGCTGGCTACGTGATGACTGTTAACTCATAAGAACGTAAACTACGCATTGTTACACTCATATAGTACATTGGAGCGACAGGTTAGGATAGGTTAGGTTATATGAATATGCAAAGCACACAGAAGCTATCTGCGTAAGGAAAGAAAATGCCTTCGTCTGGGTTCGAATTTAGGACGAACTGCAGGTATTCACCAGTGTTTAACCGCTTGTGCACTGATGGGGGCCTAGAGCGACAGGACGTTTGCTTTATTGCTTATAGTAAATTATTGGTGTCCTTCCCACTTACTTACACCCTGTCCTGTGATGTGAAAAGGCAAATTTCGATACGATTAAGATTCTGTAAGATCGTACTAAGGCTATTTGAGACGACATTTTCCATTAATGAGATTTAAATTTAACCACTTGTAGATTAGTAATAAACCAGCAAATTATCTTTTATTAATAGGAACTTTAGGCAGTTGTTTTTTTATTGCTATCAACAAATTACGCATAAGTTACTGTTGACTTAAAAGATGCAAAACTTAACAAATAATTATTTTTACTACGTGTAATCATTAGATCTACAGCTACTAGAAAGAGTTTTAATTCTCTGTCGTTTACTTGCGTTTTTTAGTGCTTTAAGTAATTTTTTATAAATGTTTTAATTCAGAAGTAACAGTTGAAAATTAGCAATGAATAGCATCATTTAAAGGGATAGTACTTAGGCAGACCTTACAGTTTCATCTATATATATATATATATTTTGTTCTGAAAATATATGATTAATGTTAATGTTTCATTTGTTTCTCATTCCTCACTCTTTGTGGATAAAACTAGATCTATACTAAAGTCTAATTAATAGGTTAACTGCGAAAGCCTTTTCGTGGTTTCGCCATATATAAGGAGAATACGAAACATTTTCCTTTAGAAACTTCCTTACGAAGCCATTACTCCCTTGTCTTTACTTCCTTTGACCTAATCAAATTAACCAATTCATATTGTTGCGTGCGTACGGGTTCGTTATGAAGTGAATGCACAAGTCCGATGAAAAATGAACAAAACTTTTTATTATCAAAAAAAAAAATGCTTAAATTTTCTCAAATTATCATGCAGTATTACAATCTCACAGTAGTTATCTTTTACTACTCAATGTACAATAGAATGTAATTCAAACAGCTAAAGAACTAACGCTAATCCGCGAATTCGCTACATCACAACACAGAGTTTTCTAAACAACAACAAACTAAGGCCTACTACAAACTGAGATGTTTCCTCTCCTTTTATAAGATTTTAAAATCACGCGCTAGAATTTTCCAGTACTTTCTCGAATCAAAAAAGAGATATTTATTATTTAATGCACGCGCTCTTGTATTTTTTCAATTTTCCGGCTAGCTTTCTTTTAATATTCGTCACGCGCTACACTGCGCGAGAAATAAAACCATTTAATTTATAATTAAACTAACATTAGCTTTTTAAATACCAAATTCGTAACAATATGATAAGCTCTATGAGTTTATAAGGAATTTAAGTTTTACTAACGTTTATTTTATTTTAAAATTTTACTATCCTCTCTTATTTTCCACTTCCGGCCAGAACAAACGCGAGGAGATTTAGTTATGCAAATTGAGTTTGCAAATTGTTAAGTATTTAAGTTGTGGCTTTTAGCTGAGAAAGAGAAAGGCAAAGGCTGATATTAAATGTAACCTTACCTCTCGCGCGCTTCTCAGTCAGTTCTTGTCTGCCTTTGAGGCCAGAACTTAGTTCTCTTTGATACTTGCAGATGTATTATAGTTTTCCGCAACCTGTTTACTACATGCGTACAGGACTCCAGGATGTTTGCAAAAGCAATTAGAAGAAATAGTAGTCCCTACAGTGGCGCCCGAACTAAAAGGGTGGCGGACGATAGTTCTCCACACCAAGGATTTGGCGATTGGGTCCCCTAAATTCCCCAGTCACCCTTTAAAAGGTGGAGTATATAAGGTATTTCTTCCGTCTCCTTAGCATGCCTTCGTAGTGTAGTGGTCTGCACTCTGGGCGCGTATTCCAGAGGTCCTTGGTTCGGTTCCCAGCTAGGGCGTTGCTCATTTTTCATCTCTCGTGCTTTCAAAAATTTACCTAATGATTCTACAAGTTGATTATGACAAAGTATGCGAAGGTTTCTTGCTTTAACACGAATACTGTCATAGAAATTTCTAAAGGAAACGGCCCTCATTCACGTTACACTAGTGGAAAACCAGGAAACCCAGCAGCACTGGATAGCAGGGAAGAGAACCCAGAGCGAACAACCAGTATTCAGTAGCATTTATTCATTCGGCCGTTGGTTCCCTTTAGTCTATCAAAGAATAGTATCTTGTTATATCATATTATAGTTACAGTTTCTTCTGTCAAAACTTTTAGTAAGCCGCACTGTTGGTAACAGAATTTGCGCTAAATCTACGAGTTGTTTTTTTATCATCTCCGTTTTACCATGTAATAATTTCTGTCTCATTTTTCATGAACCAGGAATTTATTCAGATGCCAAAAGTCTACTTAACGAGACCCTGTTTTAAAGGCAATATTGAAACACAAAGCCTTGCTGTATTTTCTTTTATTAAGAAAATGTGTTATCTCCCAGAAATTCTCTTTTTTTGAATTATTTTAAAAGAGTCATTTCGTATGGATAACTTTGTAATCGCTATTCATCAGTCAAGTTGAGTAATTTGGAAAATGCAATAACTAACAATTTATTGCCGCTTGCCTTTCGTATTTTTAAAAAAAGGTTTATGAGCGTAAAATAGCAGATGAAAAGTGCACTTTTCCCTATTAATATTCAGCTCACAAATTCTTAGCCACAGAGGAATTTAAAGAATTCTTTTCATGCTTCTTCGGAATTCCGCATCAAAGCCCTTTGGGATTTATGCGTTGTAATTGAATTTTCTTTATAAGAGTAAGATTGCATTCTTTTTCAGTTCTATTGAAAGAGATATTTCTCAGACGTTTATTTATGAAGATATAATTTCTTTAATAAAAAGCCTGCATTTTATGACTTCAAAATTTACAATTCGTCGTTCAGGTCAAAAGTTGAATACTTGTTGAGAAAATTATTTAAATTCCAGAAGAGCATATATACAATTTTCGAAATCGAAGTAAAGTATCTGCCAACAGAATACTACGGTAATCTTATTCGTTTGGTATAGAGTATATATATTTTATTTACATTTTTATGAAATGCATAATAATGAAGCTGGAAATACTTCAAAAATTTTAACATTAACTCAATCTTCTATTTTTAATAATTTGATAAGAATGCTTTTTGAGTTTCTAAAGTACTTTAAATAAACATTAAAATGTTGTTCATTTAATGCTCAGTTCTCCTTTCTGTGCGATAGTAGCTCAGTTAGCAGCCAATTACATATATAGAGTCGATATTACGCCAAGTTTGCGGACTTGGAAAAATTGTTTTGGGAAAGGAAACTGAAAACAGAGTATAATTTTTATTTAATAATTCTCTTGTTCATTCTCTCTTTTCGTAAAATAACCATGTCTCTTCTTTAACATAGCTTTAAAAATATCGTAGAATACTCTAAAAAGTGTTTTGAGACCAAAATAACAAAATTGCAGACTGGTATGTTTGGCATCGTGCGACGATACACCAATCAACTCATTTATGCTTGTACAGATAAGTTAACTGCAAATACGAAAACAAATGTCAACTTTTTGAACCGATTTGTAATTATCCTAAACCTTCGAATTTGAAATTTTAAAATGCATAAGTCAATCTAGGAAAGTTACATATTGTAATGAATTTTGTGTAATGTAACATAAAAGGCTTCAAGAAAGGCGAAGCTCCGAAGGAAAAATAGAATTACAAGGGCAAATCTATTCAACATTGAGGTGAATGGTTATCTCGCTAAACTGACCAGCTATCGCCAAGGTAGCGATAGCTGTGGCAGTAATTTGAGTCGCCAAATTTGGTGAGAAATTGCCACAAGTCGATCTGATCCCTGTACAACTCTAATTGATCACTAAATGTAATTATAACCGCATCCGGCCCTTATATGTAACTTCCGACATCGTATATGATGCCCTCCAGTAATTGTAGTAAATGAACGGTACTAGAGATTTCTAGGCGGTATATAAGACAGTATCAGTTCTCAGTTTTTCATAGGCCCATCAGCAGTCCAGCGATAAAGTTCCTGAACACTGGTAGTTCAACTTGGATCAAATCCCGACGAAACGGATGACTTCATGATTCCTTTTCGCAGTTTTCCCTACGTGTAACGCAGATACGAGCTTTCCCTGTTGTAAGGATCTTAAGTTTTACTAACGTTTATTTTATTTTAAATCTTTACTATCACTTCTTATTTTCTACTTCCGGCCAGAATTATAAGCGTGAAGGTTTTTATGCAAAGTTTGTCTGGCGAACGCCAATTAATTAAGTTGTGGCTTTTTTGCCAAGCAAGGAGAGGAAGCAGTGAGTTCGAAGCAGGCCGCTACTTAGAAGTTACGCAGTTGCTATTTGCCTTCCAGGCCAGAGGTTTAATCCTCTTGATAAATTAAACGTATTGTAGTGTTCACAGTCTCTGTGCTACATACGCTTCCTGTTATTATAAGGCCAATCTTCCACGTGTATTTTCTAAAGTTAATTAGAGTTAGTTTTATTTTTATACTTTTACGTTAGACCCCGAGTGGAG